TTTATTCCTTTTTCTAGTGAGTTTATATGTGTCAAGAAGCTAAAGATATATTCTGTTTTCAACACTATGAAAGTGTCATCCATATATCTCCAACATATTTTTGGAGTAGAATTCAATGTATTTAGGGCAATATTTTCCCAACTGTTCGTAAAGATATCTACTATAATATTGGCGATCCCATTGCTACACCGTCTGTTTGTCTATATATTTTGCCTTGGAATTTAAAGATAGTAAACGGCAGGCATAACTGAATTCCTAAAATAATTTCATCAATGGGCCGCTTCGTCCTATGACTAAGTTCAAGATCCAAAGTTAGTTCTCTTTTAACTGCTTCTAAGGCCATATTGATTGGTATGTTAGTGTACACACTAGTTATATCAAAACTGATCATTTTTTCATTATTCTTTAATTAAATGTTATTTAGTTTCTTTTTCATTTCATATGAATTAGTTAACCTAGTGTTCGAACGATTTCTAGTGGAGCATAATATTAGAGCTAAGTGTTTTGATAATTCATATGTCGGCTCGTATGGGGTAACCTGGTTTATGCATTTCTACAGTACCATATATTCCACTAGCGTTATTAGTTTTAGGCATTAAATTCAACCATTTAGACTCACGCAGTGATGGTTTCATTCTACGTATTAAATCCACTGTAGATCTCTTAATCTTATTCATTATTATATCGACAGGCTTCTCAATTTCCTCATATGGACCCGTTTCAATGTATTCAATGACTTTCTCGATATAGTCAGATTTATCCATAGGTACTGTCGAGTTTCCCTTATCAGCCTTTACGATGACAATTTTCTTATCCTGTTTTAGACCATTCAGAGCTAGTCTTTCAGATTTCGTTAAGCTTGATTATGCTTTTTCAAGGTTAATGTACATTGTGCTCGAACCTTTCCTGTTACCGTCTTATCTATTGAACTTAGTGCCACTTCCATGTTAAGAATGATATTCACTAGCTGGTTGTAAACCCGAATTAGAAGGAAGTAACTCGATTCCGTTAAAAGAACCACACCACCACTACTGACACTTCAAACTTGAAACCCTAAGTTCCATTTTGAATGCAAAAAAAATGATAAAAATAAAATGAAGAACGACTCTATTTCGGAATGAATCAGATCGATAATTTTTTACAAGTGCTAGGAGAGTGAGGAGAAGCGGGGCTGTGATACAAACGCTAAGAGGCCAATGCATCAACACTAAACATATACAAGTCTGGGAAATGATCAACAACCTTGTATAATCAAGAATATTGAGTATGATGAATAAAAGTCTCTAAAGAATCGATAAAAACAGGTCGGAAATTACCACAAAGAAAATGCTGCAATAAGACACCATAATTAGTTATAGTCATCACGGTGCGTTTCGAGACAGTTGAGTACGCTAAAAATCGAGGTTTTGAATATTTCTTGACTTAATTTTTACTTTAAGTTATTTTGGTCTGCGAAAGAATGCAAACAACAACGAATGTTATCAAACAAGAAGAAATTGAATTCACTAACTCTATTCTATATTAATTTAAACGCGATATACAGAGAACTGTGCTATCATCCGATACTATCTGATATTAACCAAGAATAACTCCAATATAATTTGTATGGAATGTACATTATACTGATATCCGTAGTTTACAAATATTAAAATTTACCACTGCCTTTCGGTTTGTTTAAACAAAGCAAGAACAAGTAATGTGCCAAAATGATAAAAACTCATTTTTATTACTTCGTAGACTCTTTCCTACTGCTCATATTATCCTGCTACACTTGTTGTTATCGCTTTGTCCAAGTTCCTCAGTGGGGAGGAATGAATGAAGTTTGTTTGTTTACTTCAATGAACTGAGTGTTAGACGACGATTCAGGTCCATTTGTGTCATGTCTACATTACAAAGATTATAATGGGTTGATCGAATTTGTGAGTAGAAAATAAGATTTTCGCATAACGCTGAATACTTCTGGTTGATCGATACGAGCAGTTGAATATCATTCACTGCAACCAGTAATGCTTGCTAGCCAGATAGACAGGATAGTAAACTCATCATCACCTGTATGCACGGTTTGACTCAAATCAACGAGAGCCAAATCAGTTCAAACTGCCTGTTGATAAGCTCGATCCCAAACGAGCAAAACAGCCGTCTGGTGTTTACATCACTTCGACATTATCTGATGGATAGTGACTAGTAGTGTGATCCACAATTAATCCTGTTTGGAGCTCTTCAGATGGAGATATCAGCAGCCCTTCAAATGAGAGTGTTCCCAATGACACGTCCATTGGATAGCTTTATTCTATACAGAAATAAGAGTTATGCTTACTCATAACAAGGTTTTTAAGATATGATACAGGTAACAATGAGTTGATTTCCTGAGTATATGAACCTGTGAATAAAAAACTATACTCGTCTTAATCCATTTCGAAATAAAAAGAGAATACATCATTTCTGCCTACAATAAGTAAGCAAATTAAATTGCTTACTAGACAGTAACACTAATCAAACTAGTCAAAAGAGTTGATATCGTCTTACATAGTATTTGACATTGAAAATGGTTGACAAGAAAGAACACGTTACACTTAGCTTCTAAGTTTACTGTCCCTCAGCAGCAAATGGAAAGCACAACACTAGGAAGGTGTACTGGCTGTGGAATACGTAGAACTGCATTGTTTCCCATATATATATACACGTCTGTGTTTTACCTGCTGATAACTCATAAACGGTCTCTAGCTTTTCATATCTATATCTATCTAGTGGGCGAAAACCAATTTACTACTAACATAGGGATAGAGGTAATGAAGATATCTCACTAAGCAATAAAAACAACAACAAGCACGATAAACAGGAGAAATTTAAAAGAAGTCACCTTCTTCATTTATCCAGAGAGCATCATTTCAAATACAGGCAATGACACAGATGGAGATGTCAAGGCCAGAATCCGAAAGGCACGACAGACCTTCATTACTCTGAAATCAGTTTGGAAATCTTCTGCATTAAGCATAGAGAAAAAGGTTTCGATTTTCAATACTAATGTCAAATTAGTCAATGCTTCTCTGCATTTTTAAAAAATTATAGCTTGATTCCACACCGTATTTTTAGTACAAGTATGGAATTTTCAGCATGTGATATCGGTAGCCCAAATTTGGCAGACCGACCAATTGATATCAGGTGTGCGTCAGTAGGAGATCAAACCCCGAACCATGTGCATGGTCGGCAAGAGTCCTAACCGCTGTGCCACCGATTTTCTAGCAACATTTTTCACTTACGAGTGTTAGGACTATGCATTCGCCAACTGAAGGGTCAATAAATATGTATACACCGAATAGGAAACGGTTTGAACCGCAGGTTTCTGCAATCACTAACATGCTTAATCGTCCATTTCTTGCCCACACTAATTATTATTTATTACTATTGCTCCCTTGGGTTCCTAGTGGAACATAAGGCTTCAACTGCACGTCTCTATTTGCTTCTGTCTTTTGCTGTACTTTTCACCTGCATCTATGCTGTTTCAACTTCTCTTCACACGATCTCCTCCATGTCACCCTTGGACGTCCCACACGCCGCTTCCCTTTCGGGTTCCACTCGAGGGCTTGACGCGAGATGTCACCCAGCGGTCTCCTCAGCGAGTGTCCGATCCATCTCCACTTTCTCCTGCACATTTGTTGGGCGATTGGTTCTTGCTTTGTTTGTTCCCATAATTCCTTGTTGGTGATTCTTTCCGGCCATCTGATCTTCAGTATAGAGCGAAGACAGTTGTTAATAAAGGTCTGCAACCTTTTGGAAATATACTTTGTGACCCGCCAAGTTTCTGATCCGTAGAGAAGAGCTGACTGACTTGAATTTTGTTGTTGATGCTGGCTGAGTGACGAAGATTTCCAGATTGGTTTCAGGTTGATGAATGTGTCTCTCGCCTTCCCAGTTGTAGATTTGACATCCTCGTCCGCTCCTCCTGTAGTTGAGACAATGCTCCTTAGATAAGTGAATGAAGTAACCTCTTTCAAATCCCTCCCGTTGATGGTGATTGGCGCTGGATATTACTGCTGTTGTTATTGTTGGTTGGTTAGTTATTTTCATAACCTCCGTCTTGTCTATGTTTACCTGGAGTCCTGTCTTCGCCGGCTGCTTCTTCCACCAGTTTGTCGGTTTTCGCGTGTAAGTATTCGATTGTGTGTGACATCAAACATAAATCATCGCCGCGCGAAATCCATGTCTTCTAGGTTCTTCACGTCGGTCCAGGATATTCCTGTCCCGTTTCTCGTTTCCCACTGTCTGATGCATAATCCAGTCAGTCCACCACAATTAGGAATATCATTGGTGATAGTAAGCACCCTTGTCTGACTCCTGTGTTTATTCTAAACGCCTTGCTGAGTTTTCCGTTGTGGATCACTTGACATGTGCCGTTGTCGTACAGCTGTTGAATAAGGTTGATGAATGTTTGGGGTACGCCATAGTACTCGAGTAATTTCCAAATTACTTCACGATCAACGCTGTCGAAGGCCTTCTCAAAGTCTATAAAGTTGAGGTAGAGGTTTGATCGCCATTCCATGCTTTGTTTGATGATGATGCGTAGAGTTGCAATTTAGTCAGTACATGATTTGCCTTTCCTGAATCCAGCTTGTTCTGGTCGGATTTCTATATCCAGTGCGTCCTTTAATCTCTCCAGGATGATGCGACTCAGGATTTTACTTGGCGTCGATAGGAGCATGATTCCTCTCCAGTTCTTGCAGAGTCCTAAGTCGCCCTTCTTTTGCAGTTTCACGAGGTAACCTTTCCTCCAGTCAGTAGGCACCTTTCCCTCCTTTCAGACCTTTTGCAATAATGGAGTCAGCATGTCTGCTGTAGTCTCTGGGTCCGCTTTCAGTGCTTCAGGGGGTATTCCATCTGGTCCGGCTGCTTTTCCAGCTTTCAGAAGCTTGATTGCACGCAAGACTTCAGCTCTCGTTGGAGGATTGGTGTCAACTTGCAGTTGTGTGCGCGCTGTTGTTGGTACTTCTGGACGGGTTGCTCACACTAATAACTACCCAAATAAACACTTTTGAAGGAATTTCGAAGTAAATAACTGCAGTTATTTTGGTAAAACACATTGGAATTTCGGCATTTCCCTTAAGACTCCGAAATATCCTCAAAAATTTCCAACAGATCTCGAGATAAGTTCTATCACACGAGAAGTTAACCTCGGTTTTACGGCAATGTTCACATGGACTTTTCTGTGAAGTAGGGTCAGGTAGTTGTTTTCATGAGACCCTCGAGTTTTCTTTCAGAGAATATTACAATGGCGAAGAAATTAGCACACTTTTTGACTTGAATTCAAGTCGAACATTTAAATGGGTCTAATTAAACTCATAAATGGAGGTAATTTTCGGGAGATGTAATAGAGCGATTAAGGGAATTTCTGAGAGAATCGACATTTTTCTCCAATATACCCCAAAACTTCCACGAAAAACCCTAAAATTGACCCGAAACTCCCCAAGTTCTTTATTTGGGAATGCCCATGGGAAAAGATGCATCGTTTCCGCTGGTTGTCTTTATTACTTGCCATAGAAATGTAAACGATACAATTCTCTAAGTACATGAAAACAAATTACTTCTAAAATATTGAAGAATATCACGGTTCGTTAAATATATCCCACAGACATCGAGAAGAATCACGACCTGAACATCCATTTGACTTATAGTTGTTTTACTCTCTTTAATGTGACTGATTCAATCAAACAAACCTCTACTTCCAATCAGGCTTATATGAGTCACCAAAGGCATTTCCAACTCGCTTTAGACTTTTGTCAATAGCTGTCCTTCACATCATACTGGAGATAAGATAGTCGGCCAAAATGGTTTGGCAACAATGGACTCTGACAACGAGCCAACGAAAATCCTATTACCCAACAAATATTCTCAAGAAAACGGAGATAAATAGGATACACGCTGATCGACATCACACGTCAAACAGTCCTTCAAGTGGAACGAGTTTGATGTTGGTTAGAGGCTGACATAGAGGAGATTGTGTGACGAAAAGGAGCCAGTAAAAGACATCTACAGAAAACGCAATGAAATGGAGATGTGTACTGTTGAAGCCTTACTTTCCACTCGAAACTTAAAGGAGAAATAATAGTAATAATATTAATAGTGAATTCAATAATGAACCAGTAGACTGTATCACACACAATGCAGGATACCCTAACTAACAATAGTGATATTAACCCATTTGACACTTTGCCTTATTACAGTTATTCTCCACAAATGTATTTATTTAATTCATTCCCAGTAGGATGACTGATGAATAAAGACACAATACATACATCCATACATAAATAAATAAAGCAAAACATCACTCAATTAGTTAGTATGGCTAATCACAGTGTCTAAATAATTTAATAGACAAAAAAAGAGAGTGAGAAGGGGAACTGAATGTCAAAACAAACAGATGAATAAATAAATGAAGGATAGATACATTTTGTTTAATACACACGCAAATCCATAACTAATTGATAATTAATGACAGAGAGCAAGAAGACCATGGAAAGAAATAAAAGAGACCAATAGCACACACACACACACACTTGGATAAGGACAGTAAGCAGCCACAGTACACACACATATATCCAACAACTGCATACCAAAAATAATATGATTTTCATCTAGAGGAGAAAAAATGACACTTTGATGGCTACCATTCTCATTCTACAAGATATAATTTTTTTCTAAAAGAAAGTAATAAGTGAACAGGACAAGAAATCCCCAAATGTTTGCAATAGATTAACTATAAGAAAACAAAAATGAATCAATCATTCCTAATGTTTTACATAATAATGAGATGAAATGTGAGTGCTATAAAGAAAAAGGTAGATGGTTCGGTTGGTCGATGGTCAGGTAGGTAGGTAAGTTCGCAGGTACACATTTCAACATTGCTAGAAAATTGAATTGCTACCGTAGTAACACTTGCAGTAGTGCTGCTGGTAGTTGTAGTAGAAAAAGATGTGTAATCACGACAGAATAACAGATTTTCCAATGGTTACACACCATATGAAGTATGACGTAAGTAAACACCACAAGCACACACACATACATACCTACAACAGAAAAAACCACTCCTACTACAAATAAACAAACAAATAAATAGATTACTTAGAATACAAAAGCAAAATTGACATTTCTGTAGATAGACTAGAGGAGAGAAAAAGAAATGATTAACACATGTAATGACAATGACAAAAGAAAGCTAACACAATATAACACAAAAACATACTCACACTAGTCATTTTATATTCAACCATCCTACATATAAGAAAGAAAAAAGTACTACAAAATAAAAAAAAGATTTTGTGTGACAAAGTACAATCCTTTATAATGATCATCATCATCATTGTTAGTATTATGCTAAAATGTGTCTATATATGTGAGGGATGAATGGACTTTTTCATTGAATTCCATTGTTGGTGTTGGTACTAACAGCATAATAGGTAGCACCATTGGTACAGTAATAGTTGGGTAAAAGTCGTTAACACAGTATGAATTATATAAAATTGGTAATCATCAGCAAAATGATAATGTGTGTGTAAAGACGATGAACAGACAAGAGCAGAAACAATCAGAGTAGAGGAATGTACATTCAAACAGAGATTAGAAAAGATAGATGGAATAATGACGGCGAAAAACAGACGGTTACACACACACACAGGCACATACATACACAACATGGACATTTTTCCATTCCATGTGAAGATAAGAGAATAAAACAAGACAGCGAATTGATATCATCATCATAACTACAAAAGGAACAACCTACTTACTCTACTGATAAGAGGAAGAGAGAGAGAGAGAGGGAGAAAAGGAGAGCGTTAATAACACAATAAATTAATCACCACAAATGGGTTTCACGTATTTCACCGATGATTAAACTGGCCTTCTGTAGAGCCTGTAAAGCAATATGTATAAAACAATTAATTATTTAATTAATTCATGGTTAATTCATGAATCACAATGTACAAATAATTGGATACAATTGAATAATATAAAGTTATACAATATAAGGGATTAAAATCAATGAGATTAATTATTGTGGTAGTCTGTTCATTTGGTTTATTACATTACAAAAAAAATGAAACCGAGTGACCCGTATTGTCGCATACAAACACGACTATTAGGTATAAATGGTAGCATTGTTCCAATTACAGGCGACACGGACGAGGATATTAGACAAGATAGACAAGCTTTCATTATTCTGAAATCGGTGTGAAAATATACAGCACATAGCATAACACACAAGAAAAAGGATTCGAACCTTTAACACGAATGTCAACTTGATACTTTTGCATGGTTCAGAGAGTCGCGGCGCACGTGTCACCAAAAGTATTTAGATATGATAGAGAAGATTTGTAGCTCAGGTGGATGATTTTGATGTGGTTGTGTTCTCTGAGCTGGATGGTTAATTTGCGAAGCTTTCATCACCCTACTAGGTGACATCTTCAGCGCATACTTCAATTTATTGAAGTGAGCTTTTAGATTTCTCCACGAGTTTATTAATCATCTCTCCTGGTGGGTGACCTTGGACGTGATTGGTTGTTTTTGTGTGTTTTCACACCTTCTAGGCTACTTGTATTGGAACTGATTGTTTCTTTGACTTGAACATTGATCCTTTGTGTGTGAAGTTTCTTTCTCAACAGCCTGCTACAAACTTTCACCAACAGATGCTTTCATCAGATACTGAAGATCAGATAGCTAGGCATAAATTATTATTATTATATCCCTTAATTCCTAGAGGAACACAGAGCTTCAGCCGCGCGTCTCCATTGCGTTCAGTTTAATGCCAACGTTTTCACCCCGCTCCAAGTCTGCCCACACGCTTTCATCTACTTTTCACATGATCTCCTCCAAGTCACCCTTGCACTGACGACCAACTTGCCGCTTCCCTTTCGGGTTCCACTCGAGTAATGGCTTGTCTAGTGATGTCACTTGATGGTTTCCTCAGCGTGTGGCCAATCCATCTCCATTTCTTCCTGCCTATTTGTTTCACAATTGGTTCCTGCTGTGATAATTCGCTCATTGCTAGAGATCCCTCACTATTGCTGATCTTTTCTGGCCGGCCATCTGATCTTGAGTATTGAGGTATTAATGAAGGTCTGTAGTTTGTTTGAGGTGCTCTTTATGATGCGCAGTGCAAGTCTCTGATCCGTATAATAGCACTGACTTCACATTGGAGTTGAAAATCCGGGTCTTATTTTTGATGCTTGATCCGGTTGACCTCCACACAGACTTGAGACTAATGAAAGCTTGTCTTGCTTTCCCGATTCTGGCTTTGATATCCTCGTCAGTTCTGTTCGCCTGTAGTTGAAACAATGCTTCCCAGGTAGGTGAAGGAGGTTGTTTCTTTCAGGTTCCTCCCATTTATGCTGGCTGATTGTTGTCTGTTGTTGTCGCTGTGGCTGTTGCTGTTGGCCAGGAATCTTCATCATCTACGTCTTTTTTCTCTATGTTCACCCTAAGTCCTATCTTTGATGCTTCTTCTGACAACTTGTTGCTTTTCACTTGCATATCTTTCAGTTTGTGAGAAATCAGACATATATCATCGGTGAAGTCCAGATCCTCCAAGTCTCTTTTTGTGTGAGTCCATTTTATGCCTGTTTCCTCATTGCCCAGCTCGCTGTCTGTCGCATTATCCAATCTACTGCAATCAGGAAAATCATTGGCGATAGTAGGCAGCCTTGCCTTACTCCCGTCCTCACTTCGAAGGCTTCCGTAAGTTTCCCGTTGTGGATTACTTGGCACGCAGCCGGGCATAAATAATAGCCTACAAAGAACTCTGAAAGAGAATCAGCCAACAAACTACCACCTAACAAATACGCAGAGGAAGGTGGAGAAGGAATGGGTAATACATTGAAGCAACCTCCAAGTAACTTCACACACCAGAACCTTAAAAGGCAAGCCACGAGTTTGAGATGAACCCAAGAGTACCATGGGCATACCATATAAGTAGAAGACAATGCCAGAGAACAAAGTACGATGAAAATGTTTTGTTGATGCCCCAACCTAAGGAACAAATAATAATAGTAATGACAATTGCACAAATGATTTACCTACGTCTATTTATACCTCTAGAATAATTTGAAAAGATAATGAAAAGCTAAGATACATCGTTTTTCACCTTTTCGAGTTAACCTATGGCTCAAAATAAGTTAGAAAGCAGAGTCAGATTCTACTATTCGGTTTTTTGAGTTTAATCTGATAGTTTCTATTTACACTTCTTCTATAAACATGTGCTACTTTACTACGTCTTAGAGGATATGGAAATCAAGATATTTTAAGAAGTTATCCAGTTAACATGACTCACTACAATTTTGTAACTACAGTCAGGTTTTGGTTAATAATGGGGACCTATGATATTACAATTTCGTTTTATCTGACGTAGGAACAGTCCATTTCAGTCCAGCCTACATTAGTCAAGATCCATAATATAGTGAACGTGACCTGTGATTTCATTTAAGCGAATACGATAACCCTTCTCATCTGTAACACAGAAATTAACCAATTTCTGAAAAATACAGAAAAGTCACAGATTGTCCTAGTAACTTCAGTTTAACCCTATTGTAAGTATAAAACTAGTATTGAATCAGTCATTTTAACTGACAATACCATAAATACGATAACAGCCAAGTTAAACATTAGACATCCAACAGGCATGAACACACACCAATAATCTTGGGACGCTGAGTCGGAGCAAAACAGTGAAACCAGATAAATAACAGTATATTCATGAAGTGTGCCTCGGTAGCACATCACCATCTATGCAGGTCGTCCGGGATTCGATCCCCAACCGATGCACCCCTTAACCTCGCTAAGCCAGTAATAAGACTGGTAAAGATGGAAGGTTGGGCATGAGGCTAACAACCCCATCCCGTGAAAGTAAATATCACTGCTACCGAAACTTCAAAGCTGTTGCTCGAAGGCCTATGTCCCAGTGGTAACGCAAAGGAATAAAAAGAATATTCACGAAGTGTAATGATATCAAACAAGGTATCTAGTTAGTCTTAGGTTAGGAACAGATTGAGCCTAGGTTAACGTAATCAGGAAGTACTGCTGTTTAACGCAGTTGGTTGTCCCAATGTCATTTTTATGTCTGTGCCTCTTAAGTGCTTAAAGTTGAATTTTCCCACGATTACCCGAAAAATACACCTTCTATCAAAGTCTTAAGTGATAAGTAAATTTACGCAAAATTAACATAATAAACTGAAAAAAATACAATCATGCCTGAAGTCCTCCGGCGTACTTTAATCATTAAAACTAACATTTTAAAAGTGCAGACAGGCATCAAAAAAACAGTTTACACACATTGTCCTAGTAAAGTTTATACGAAGACTTACCTTAAGCATTTCTGAAGCTTCTCTTCTACGTTGAGCCACTCGTTCACTTTCTTGCAGCAGAACATCATATTCATCTTGTTTATACAACTTACTAACAAGTTCTGATTGCAAATTATCTTTAACAAAATTCACCAGGAAATGCATTATTGCCTTTGGAACAGTGTCTTGTATATTTTTACGAACAATTAGGAAATAGGAACGAATTAATCGACCTTAAAATATAGATAAGAATAAAGTTGGTGGTATTAGTTAGAATTCACAATAAGCAATGAATAATATGGCGAAGTTAAACTTTCGACACCACTATTTACCAATCAGCGAATTATCCAATGAGATTCACGAACGACGTCTAATTATCCAATGAGGTTCACGAACGCAGTTCAATGTTGTATAGCGCTTGATTCATTTCTAATGCGTGACCTTACAAGGCTATTGTTGCAATTCGAGGAGGTTAGCGTTTTCCAGTATTTCCTGGATTTGAGTTGCGCCGGAAATAGCGAATTTGTTTGTGTGGTGGTATCATGACTTTAAAAAGCTATACCAAATCAACTGATGGGTTTGTTCACCGTTGTGCTATATGTTTGAAGCCTACTAACGCTAGAGAGGGTAAGCTGATAATTTTAATATTTCGTAGGAACTTTTTTGCTAGGTCGCTTCTCTCCCTAAGGATAGCAGATAGAAAAGCAACTACTCTTATACCTATTATTACCAGACTTGTTAAGCGGGGATCAATTATACACACCGACGAGTGGAAAGGCTACAATTCGCTGTCATCTCTGGGATGTATTCATCATAGAGACAACCATTCAAGTGATTTTGTGGATCCCGTTACGAGGACACATACAAATTCTAATGAAGGATTTTGGGGCAGGTTGGAAAATAGGATAAGGGCTATAAACAGATCTCAAAAGGATCTCATTTATAGTCATTTGGATGAATATATGTACAGGATATGGTGTAACTTCTCCATTGACAGTCCCATGCTAAACTGGGAGATTTTTCTCTCACATGTTCGAGAAAGATATACCACGTAACTTTTTTATTCTCTATTTTATACCTTTTTTTTCTATAAATATACATTTCCATTCACCATATATGCCTCTTTAATGTGATTGGTCCGTTTGAGGTCGTTTGCTGATTGGTTGTTAGTGGTGTCTAAAGTTTAACTTTGCCAATAATATTAGAATAATGTAGTAATTAGTAATAATGAATAACTTTCAGTATTATTACTGTCACACGCTTGGTATTCAAAACGTAATTCAAAACATAATCTACGTAACATGTTTAAAAGAGTAGATATTCTCAAATATTGTAACAAGGGATTCTGAAAACGAAACTACAGCCTAAGAAATATTCAGAAGGAAATATAGATGGATAGGACACATGTTTAGGGAATCCGTGAGTGACAACACACTCCATGCAAGCACCACAAGTGGAAGCTGAACAAGAAACAACGAGTTGAGCGTGAGTTTTAGAATGGCATGGATGAAATCATTCAATGAGGAAGTGGAAGCTTATGGATAATCGTAGAGCCATTTAAAAAAGACTACAAAACAACAGAATAAAATGCAGATGTACCGATAAAACCCTGTGTTCCACTCGCAACCGAAGAGAGTAGCAACAATAATAACACGTCTCTACTGAATGATGATGATGCCGATGATTCCCAAACTAGGATGAAACAGCAGCTGTCCAGTACTCCCTGGTTTTCAATGGTTCTCCAACTGATATCAATCCGTGATCAACTCGTAAAAACTTCACTGAATCAACAATTATGGAATACTTCAATGCTGAATGTGTTTAAACAAATCTCAATGGGTTTTCGGTCAATGGAACTTCAATTGGAAAATCTCCATCTACTTTGGCCTAGATGACTAGACAGTACTATCAGCTCTCTCTTCCTCTGTCTCATTAACTGTAGCTCACATCTAAGTAAATGAAGTTTTTAATTCTGGTGAATAAGACTGTGAGGACTGATTACTAAGTGCTTAGAGATTCAAAATGTGGATCACACAGAGCTATCTAACTAGTCACATGTTTAGTCACAGTTCGGGTACATATAACAAAAGTAGAAACGTCTACATCCGTTATGTCACAGATTTGATTGCTGACTTTTTATGTAGTCATTTCGCTAGTTCGAACAATCAACCACAGACTGTAGAGTTCGAAAAACTTGTGAACTTATTATTAGAGAAGTAAAGATATTTCAGACAAAAGATTGTGATGTTACTGATGATACCTTTCAAAAATTGCAACACGGTATCACCGATCATGTCAACTGTTCTACTAATAAACAATTTTAGCACAAGTCAGCAGTACGAATTTATTCTCTTTAATGTCCTCTGAATGAAATTTTCCCCAGTTTTACAAATAAAATTTCGGGCATGACTTGATTCTGAGGAAACCAGTATTCTAGAAATAAAAGCCGACGTAAATATTTTCGATAAACAAACGTAACTATTCAAACAAGCTAATAGCTGAGATTAAGACAAATAAGATTAAAAAATAATTGATTAAAAATGGGTTTAAAGTTAGACCCCCAACGGACATCAGTTATAGAACCAAAGGATAGTAGTTTCAACAGTGCGTACACATAAAGCCAGGTTACGAAAGAATGATCATGTCCAAATGACTGAGTGGTCGACTTGTCTGCTTCGTAACCTTAAGGTTGTGGCTTCAATCCCCGACGAGGGTGTAGTACGTACTGCTGCAAAGTTCGGAAGTGGAATGAAACAGATGTGCAGTACTCCCTGGTTTTCACACTGGTAGCAGTTGATGATCTAGTCTGAAACCAATCAAATCTCTGCAACGCAATACTTGAAAAATGGATTTGTCGAGTTGGATAAATAAAGGATGCGTAAAAATGACAAACTACGCCTGTAGAAGTCCGCGTCAGCATTTGATTCACACTTTCAATACATCCTATCATGGAAAAAGTGACTATCGAACCTCTTGTAATCAGAATTTGGCTTTTAGAAAGGTCGTCGTTCTAATAATCAACTTTTTGTACGAAAATCCAGATGTGCTAACTTCTCTGGTGTATATCTTTTATAAAGTTGGTTTGTAAGGATTAGATTAGCTTTTACGAGTTGATCACGGATTGATATCAGTTAGAGAACTATTGAAAACCAGCAATGGAGTACTGGACAGCTGCTGTTTCATCCTAGTTTGGGATTCGTCGGCAGTACGCAACCACCACCAAGGTTCGAACGTAGGACCTTCCAGTTACAAGGCAAGCTCGTATACAATTCAACCACTGGAATCCTATTCAATAGCCAGGCCATGAATTCTAACTTCTACCAATTCACGATTTTAGCACGATCACTAACCAATGTCATCGGTGGGACATCCATCCTCACACTCGACTGGGTCGACCTGGGTTCGAGCCACAATGGGTGAGTACTGCTGATGATTTCCAAAAACTAGAATGAAACAGCTGTCCAGTACTCCCTGGTTTTCAATGCTTTTCTAACTGATATCAATCCGTGATCAACCCGTATATCTTCTCGTCAATTTATGATATTATCTTTTCCAGAATCTAGGTTTTAATAATTGTACAGAATGCTGTTATTTATATAACTACAAAGCTTTTTCACAGAAGGGTTGGGCTACGATCATGAATAAGCTTAGAATTTGGAAATTGATCAATCGATAGAACTCATATATATATATATATATATATATATATATATATATCAAGCTACATACGGACTACATACTCCAAAACTGTTTTGGTCAATTATTATAAGTATTTAATCTGTGGACATATTGTATACCGATTCCTATGCTCACATGTGACTGTGAAAAGGGTCAATAATTGCTTAAAAAGGAAGCAAAAACAACAAACTGAGCAGTATAATATAACATAATTATTTCATTTCACTGAAGCATATCAACTGCATACAATTCAGAAATGCTTTCTTTTCATCGATATACAAAATATTCACATACTTTTCATTAAATAGCTAGACGATTGAGTAAATTAAGTTAAGTGCAGAGAATATGGCCGCTGTAGTAGAATATAGTTTCATATTACATACGTTTATCTGATATAATATACACTGATACAGTGTCAATAACTGAAGTGTGATTAACTGCTGCTTATAATAATATCAGCGTAATCACACGACTTTCTGACATGCATTACATAGCCTTACTCCCTTCGATTTTGTATTTCTATTTTACACATATCTGGATTAGGTGTGGCGTCATTTCGACTGAAAGTGTCTTGTGCCGATTTGAACAAAAATTTATTGATATTCAAGTGTTGGTTCTTAGGGATTTGATTTGATTGGTTACAGGATTTCATCACGAGCTGACGTCGTTAGAGAACCATTGGAAAATCTGGGATTACTGGACAGACGTTTAGTCCTAGTTTGGGACTCTTAATCAGTACGCACCCACGGGGGTTTAAACTTATTGATTAATCTGTTTGTCCACCTAACTAAATTACTTTTTAATTCTCTCTCTTACCCTATTTCATCCTATTGGGTGAATACAGGCAAGTGAATGTATAATCATAATCATTATACAAGGTATTTCATAAATTATATTATTTTATCTAATTGGTTCTATAGGGTCCTTAAGCCTGTCACTAAGTGAGTTAGCTGGTTTGAATGTCACCTTAATTATAGCCTCATTAATAATCCTACGTAGGGTTTCTTATGTCCCTTGTGTATAAAAGTAATATTAAAAAAGGATCGACCACTGTAATGGATTCACTCGCGTGAAATGTCACATTACTGTGATATGGGGTAAACATATAAGGTGAACAGCGAGAGGGAGAGAGATTAATCATTAAGTCAACAGTAGAATGTGCAGTTGTAATGACGCAACAGCATTCCCACATATATGGAAAACTGCAATTAAAAACAGGAGGCAGTGAGGTCATATATATTATATACATTCTAAAGTTAGAAACGGAACTTGGACAGAAATTAGTAACTCAAACAAATCAGTAGTACATGTTACACAGTTAACAAAAACCAACGAAATAAAATGATACCATGTTATCCTGCTCACTAAATTTATTATCCTTGCTTCGTTTAAGTTCATCAAGAGGAAAAATTTACATGGAATCTTTAATGAGTTGTAATAGTTCTTGCAACTACTCTGGTAACCTTGCTAGTTTGTGTTCCAGAATCTTTATGATAAGATATTGTGTAACATACCTATCATTTACAATTTGCATGACACAGTAACTGACCACTTTTGAAGTAACAACAACAACAAAATCGCTATTTTCAAAGGTTTTGCTAAAACAATGCTCATATTTATGGGATTCAGCAGAGAATAATTTATGTTCAAGTATTGGTTTGAAGGGATTTGGTTGATTGGTTACAGGAATTCATCATGAGCTGACATTGGGTTCGATAACCATTGGAAAACCTGGGAGTACTGGGCAGCCGTTTCGTCCTAGTTCGGGACTCTTCATCAGTACGCACTCACCAATGTCAGCTCATGATGAAATCCTGTGACCAATAATTTATGTACTGGTTTGAAATCAGTCACTTGGAACATGTCTTCCACGTACTAGTCTATAAATCACACTTATGTGACGACTGACCCAGTTGTTGAAATAGTTGGAGCAGGATTCGAATCCGGGGGCTGATTGACTGAAAGCTAACTAGTCACATCTCCATAATGGCTATTTAAGTCTCTTTTTACATCCATCTAATTCGGATTGGTAAAAACAATTCAGTAACTGGTGTACTGGCCTATAAATTACACAAATCAGAGATATATTCCAGTTGCCCAAGAAATATTTGTAAGTGTAGATATAGCCGAGCCTAAGGTAGACAGGCAAGTGTTGTTACTAAACAACTGAAACTAAAACTGATTAGTTATAAAACGATAACAGTAGTACAGATGTGATAAAAGAGTTAAATAATTTAGTTAGCAAAATCCATTATGAACCTACCAATCACTTCACAATCGTGTCGTTCATTAGGAGTTAATTTGTGCTGTTGAACTTCTGTTTGCTAACATAAATTTAAAAGAATTAAAAAAAAGAATAAGGTGAATACCTCTCAACAGAATATTCAATTGATTACACATTTATATGAGAGAAATACTTGTTTGTGATTGAATGCTGCTTGCTAACCATGCGCGCGATCCGGGTCCGATTCCCGGTCGATGCACTACTAAACCTCACATAGCCGGTAGTAAGCCCGGCAAGGAGGGTGTGATGCTACTAGCAACCGTACCCCGTAAAAATAACACTAATGGTACTGAAACTTCCAAGTTTAGAGCTGGAAGTCCAATAATTCACTCGTTTGTATAAGAAAAAACGAAACCGGAATATGTGAGTCAAATCCGGAATATATGATGTAACACTAAATGATGATGCATGTGCACGATATAAATTCGAACTCCAGATAATAATGAACATCTTTATATTAGGAATTTTATTTTTAGAAATAAAAGCAAACATGTTTAATAGCCCAGTTAAGTAGATGTATGAAAAGTGGTAAGGAAAAGCACGAGATTGGTTTATGCAACGACAAATAATGAGGGATTATGTTACATTAGTGTTGAAAAAAGCTGTTATACAGGGTTTCAAAAGAATGTAAGACTCAGTTTTATCGAAAACACTGTCAGAATATAATTTGAACAGGCTAAAACCAAAGGATAGGAGTGGAATAAAATGATAAAATAAAATTTTATTTTATTGGTTTTTCGTCAGTCGCATATATCCCATTAACATTTTAAGGTATGTAAATAGCAATTTATAACATAATGTCAGGTGACAGGAGACTCCAGAATAATAAAATGTACTCAAAAGTTACACTTGTAGAAGAAAAATTCAAGGTAATCTAAAAAGTCTAAATACTTCGAAATGTATTTAGGTAAAACGTTAGAGATGAATAAGTTAGCGGTAAGTAACTAATAAATTATGCAATTATGTAGTGAGTTCAACTCACTTAACAGAAGTAGGAACAAAGAGAAACAAATTATTCAGAAAATAAAAGACAAGAGAACAAACGAAAAAATTCCGTAATCAAACGGAGAGAAGATTTAAGACACTGTGTTACAACGGCAAAGGAAGACTTTTGAACACTTAAATCCGGTTTGACATGTTTGATAGCTACAGTTTCTGAAAACTTGAATAGTTTTGCATAATAGTCATCATATAGGACTTCAGGGAGTCAAATTCACATGTCCCATATCGAAAAGTTGTCAAGTGATCACACTATTGAAACCATTTGTTCCCCTCAAAAGGTAGGCTCTGTTGGATATATTCAGAGAATCCAAGGTATGCCCTTTTATCCGTTCTAACAATGTAACTAACGCTGCACATACATGCAGAACTGTATTGTATTCGTAATCAGAGTTATCACCAGCAGAGCATCTATCGACCGTAAAACCGTATCAAAAAGAGAATGCTGTCCGACACACAGAAACCAACTTGGTTACAGGGCATGGGTACCGGCTGGTGTGAGGTGCTCGATCTTTTTCTGACTATTCACGCAAAAGCATCAAAATTTAAAAGGGACTTTTATGAAGGTAGACTTGACTGTTTGCCGTGATTTATCTTGTATTCATATCTACAGACCCTTCATAACTTATTAGTGGATTTCTGTGGGTAATCAATAATTTCTCTCAATTTTCTAAAGACTTGGTGATTCCTCTTCCAGTCTCTCACTGAAGCATATTGTTCTGACTCTATAACACAGCATTCTGACCCATACTCTGTACATATATTTGAAGCCTTCATAGGCTGCGTGCAGCGGATACAAAACCTATGAGATAAAATGACAATCTTATTCTGCTCTAACCGTTGGTATTGCTTTATTTAAGTTCATAAAGGAAATTATAAGTAGTGAGTTTCTCAAAAACAATTTATTCTTTGTCTGCTACATGAAATACTAGTAGTAGGGTAAAAATGTAAAGAAGAAACCGCTGATAAGTAACCTTTTTAATGATACTGTCATGCTCTGTTACTAGTATCACTATAACAGCTACTATTTAAATCTCTGCAATATTGATTTAAATTCACCATCGTCACGTCATGTGACTCAGTTGAAGTGCACACATTCCTCGCTTAAAATGAACACAAAATATGTTTAAGCAAAACGTAAAATGACAAATTATCATAATACAGTAAAATAACAATTTAAGGGAATAATGAATGTCCTTTGTTCATGTATTCATCGATTTCTAGCAATAACAAAAAAAGAATTCTGAATACTTATATAACTCCTCCTGTAAGGATATATGAAGGCCCACATGTATTTATGAATTGATTACTTCATTCGTGCATAAGTAATTACCAAACAGAATAATTAAGTTATCAGATACTATAAAGGAATTCAAGGCAGCTACAAAAAATTTGGCAAAGATTATTTAATGTACCCAGAATCTGTCTTTATTCTCTCCTATTGGCTTGTGTGCAATATGGAGGGAGAGTGGCAACTCGTACTGCCGCACATCTGTGCAAAGTTCTACGTTGAAATCAGTCAGTCAGAATAATACACCTTCCTGTAATAGTTACAAGTATACAAACTAGACTAAAGTAGTTAGTATCTACGATCCCGGGGGGATATAGCAATATGAAGATTGAGTGAATTTACACCACAATCAACCTGTCAGACTTCAAGTTCTAATACGACTGCGCTGATTAAATTATAAACCATATTTCTGGACCAGAAGATATCATTAGATCGTGTATACTGATAGACGTTGTAAGAATATATTGTTGTGAAAGGAGTCTTTAGAAACTACAATCGTGTAAAGCCTGTCCAGAGTTTGCATTCTAAGTAAAAACAACCGATAGTATCCATAATGAGTGCAGAAGATTATCATTTGCCCTTTATTTTAAATATTTGTGTTGATATATTTAATCCTCCTTGACTTGAAAATCTAGTATATCAACTTGTTACAGGAAAAGACTTAGTTAACTTAGAAAGTACACACGATACAGTCCTATTACGTGAAAATACCGGTGAAATACATTGGCGTAACTACCCTAGACAATCATTGAATATATTGTCCTATTGTTATTGCGTCAGTAGTTCAGAAGTGAACCACTCGCCAACCATGCACCTTGTCCAGGATTCGATTTTCAGGTGATGCACCCTAAAACCTTACTAAGCCAGTAAAGAAGGAAGGCTTGGTGTGAGGCTAACAATTTCACTCCGTATAAATAAAAAGCCTGCTACCGAAACTTCAAAGCTGTAAATTGAAGCCCTATGTTTCATTCAGAACGTAAAGCAATGAAATAATTCTATGTTTTCAGAAGTTTGGCAACGTCGACTCCTGAACTTTGGGTAGAGTTCTCAGTCAGTCTCCTGAGATGTGAAAAGTAAACCCCATTAATGAAACTTACTAAATCCTGTTAAGTTTTAGAGGTATATCGAAGACATGTCAAACAATTAACAGATGGTAGCTATAGCCGCCTACAACAGTAAGTATTCTGATAGGAATCTATCCTTCAGGTAGTGAGTAATCAAAGTAATATACCACTTGGGTATTGTGATTTGGATATCAGACATTAGGAAACCCTCGGTATGGGTTTTGTGCACTAGATTGGCACTCAAAGTCTAAAGTTACGAATGATATAGCACCAATTATTTTGATATATCACCCAATTGACAAAAGTATGTACTGATAAAAATAATACTTTAAAATATCCCAGCACAAGAAATGGACGTAGACATAAGTAATCATTCAATCAATGAATTTTTTTAAGGGGGGGGGGCAAATTCCTGGCACCCAGAATATATATGCATGTTTTCAGTGACTTCACGCTCTCGCCTTTCTTCAGTAAATCGTTTTAGAAAACTGTTAGTCGATATAGCAATAACGATATTGGAGGCCTTTATTTTCTTCTTCGTACTGATTGATATAACTACAATGCACTCAAGTAAGGAACTTAATGACAACATAATTTTACAGTGTATTTCATTTGCATGTCATAATCAGTTTCAAATGCCAAACTATAGTTTGTGTAGAATTGTCCCGATTTTTGACTCCTAGAAGATTGCATTCTGATGCCTTTCCTTGAACAATAAACATTTTACTGTTTCACAACTACGAACAGTTTTACCTCCGTCCCCGGAACACGTTTTTCATGTCTTCTAGTCTATGAGCCCCACTTATTGTGAGAGATAGTTAGCGATACTACCCAATTATCCAGGCTCAAGTAGGCAGAGTGGGATTCGAGCCTTGGAACCCACTGATTGAAAATCGAGTGCTAAGCCATTTAGTCACATGCAGAGCTACGTGAACAGTAGATTTTCAATTCACTTTCTTTCCGTTATCTGAAAATGACTTTTGCTGAAGTGTATTCGATAAGCGTATTGGTACACTGAAATATGAATTACTTTTCACTCATTAGTAGGTACAAAAAAACATCTACACTGATGGTTCCTTATGAACAACAAAAAAAAACTTACAATATCTGGTGTTAAACTTAGGCCCATTTGTGAATTATCTGAATGTTGTTCTTCAGAAGGACCATTCATAGTAAAGGCATTGCTTGATTCCCCATGCGTAATCGATGAAGTTAGACGACGATTAATATGTGAAGCAGATGTATTACGCAGAGCTGATCCAATAGCTGATCCTTGCGTGATTGATTGGTCGTGAAGTGACTGTAGAAAAGAAAACAACCAAGAAGAAAGAAGACTAAGAATTAGAAGATACATAGATCTATTAAGAAGTGTAGCAAATGTTTCAAAACAGCAATTAAAGTCAGATATGCAAAGTTTTCCTTAACTCATAAGTCAGAATATTCAATATTTGTTAGTAAAACAAAGAATTCACGCATAAGAGAAAAGAGTAACACACACAACTCAGAAGATATTTTCAACTAAAAGTAACATTAGAGATGTAGAGTTCCTTCAGTATACAGTTTTTACTAGGGACTTGTTGTCTAAGGTTTTTAAATAAAAACGAATGTTACAGCATAAGTTCAGGAAACACAAAATAAACAGTAAACCAAAGTATCTGAAATGATAAATTAATAATATTCTTGGTAATAGTGAAACATGAAGCTGGGTAGTTGAAAGCGATAATAATACTATGGTATCCTGACTGACTAAGATTCCACGCAGAACTTCACACAAAAGTGCAACAGTTCAGGTAGCCACACTCCATGAAGCACACAAAAGCAGGAGAGAAAACAAAGTATTCAAGACGACTATTATAACCAGATGTAGCCTTACAACTTGACCATCTGACTTTCCCTCCTTACCTAACACTTACCTCAATATTACCTACCGTATTGTGCCACTTACCATGGGAGGTAGAACGCACACACTTATGATCATAAATAGGTGGCCTTTTAAATCTTCTACGTTCAATAGTCTAGTCTTATAAGGGGAGACGGAGGGAACTGCTGAGTAGTGCACATGTCCTTCTATCAATTGCCGGATATCACCTCTACAGCAGAGATGAAGTAGGTTAGCGAATGCTACACAACCATTTTGCATCCGTGCTGACATTTCGTCACCGACAAGTCCGTTGGGGCAGATATATATAATTAAAACAGGATATAAGGAAGGGACAAGTGAATGATACAATTAAAGAAATGAACCCATACACCAGATATATTGGTGATACCCGCAATATCTGTAAATATTTAACTCACGCATCCCATCAATTACAAAAATCGAATGACAAACAAACACACACACACGGGAACGTTAAATTCCCAACAGAATAAGAACTTGATGGAGAATTCAACTTCATGGATGTCGTCTTAAAACTCATGACATAGTACACACATGTACTGAAAAGGTACATGAAGTGGATATTATTTGAATTTCAAGTTTTTGTCAGAATAACTAAAAACAGTCATCATTCAAAAAATTATTTCGCAGGACTAGAATGATATGCTCTAGTGACAAATGAGAGGAGGAGCTGCAGATTGTAGAAAAGTGTCTACGAGACAGCAGATACCCACAAGGATCTACTGAATGTTGGGAAAAGTGGAAATGAAAGAAAAAAGCACACCACGGTGAACAAAAAACCTGTAACTATCCACCGAAAATTTAAAGGTGACAACAGTGCATGGATAGTCTAACAGACGAATTTAAAAATCTCTAGGTAGGCATTCCCTGCATCTAGACTGATTGCTGTATACCAAACAGAATGTTCATTGGTTCAGTCAAAAGTTAGGAGATATCCTCCCATTGTTAGCTGCCGAGGCAGATACATTGGAAAAACATAAAGGAGTTAGCTTAGATTTTCTGAACATATACCGAAAAGTATGCGATTCAACGGAAGTAAATCTTAGAACAGCGCAGTCATGAGACATCTGATTGAGATAAGACATCAAGTAAACATCTTGAATTCTTTAAAAACAACAAACAAACTACCAGGTTCAAGTTTCTTGAAGTTTGCAGAGATCATTGTTATCAAATATGACCTGACCTGTATTAAAAAAGAAGCTGTAGTTAATCTTTCTCTACCTTGGTAACTCGTCATTTAACCTTAATTGATTACATCATCTTTTGAGTGCAAATGTTGATTTCTTTTCACTCCTACTTCGTTACGTCATCTTCTAACCAATGTCATGCATTATATCTAACCAAATGAGATTGGCTCACGAAATTTATTTCATATCTCATTTCTGCACTAAAAGTTTTCTGTTGACTCTCGTAATCTTACAACTTGTGTGCTTCAATACCTAATTGCTAACCTTGTCCCCCGGTGCGTCGGTGGCATAGCGGTTAGGACGCTCGCCAACCATGCACATGGTCTGGGGTTCGATCCCCGGCCAACGCACTCCTTTACCTCGCTAAGCCAGAAGTAAAGCTTGTGAAGAGGAAAGGTTGGGCATACGGCTAGTAACCCCATCCTGTAAAATAAACACTGCTACAGAAACTTCAAGCCACTAGCTTGAAGCCCTCACTTCCCCTTTTATTCGAGAAACTTCGATCACATTACACACTTTTAATAATTTGATATTTCGGCTCATCAATATATCATGATCATTGTTGATTACTGTTCCACATTGTATATCCAATGAAACTAAAGTATATTAAAACTGTTTAATTTCATTATCTAGGCTATATGCAGCTGACAAGATACGTTATGCGTTGTTATTGCTTTGTTCAAATTCGCTAGGAGGAACTCGTGTGTACAACTTAAAACAGGAAACATTACTTTATGGGAAAAATTATAACCACATAGCCGCAAACAATAAGATGAGTTGAGTAACACACGGAACAGATGAGACCATGAACACGTATTTGGAAAAACGCATAAGGTGATGTCTAAAGACTATTCTCAACGTTCTCTCTATAGGAACACAATGTTACCGATGTGAATTCAATTCCCCAGAGCAGATTCTCTATGAACCGGAATATGAGCCACACTTCTTGTACGAGGACAAATACTACCCAGTCGACCAGACTGAAGCCGAAAGAGCGGAACTCGAAACCTGAATCCAGTGGCTGTGAGTCGAGTGTTTAAGCCAATTGGCTACGTAGTGTCACCAGTTTATATCAGTCCACTAAATTGTTTCAATAAACAAAGCACTTCTAGTACTTACCTTCAGGTAACTGGCGTTTGGTTATCTTGCATTTTAAAAGGAAAGGCGTTCAGAGAAGAGTTATTTTTTCCGGAGATCATTCGCAAGCTATACAATCGCATCTACATAGTAAATTATCTTAGCAACAAAATATTTCCAAAGATTTATCATTAAAATTGTCAAATTTAGACAACAAATTACGTAATATAGGCGTTAATCAAGTAGAAACTAATGTCAAATTATTAGAATTGTAAATTTTAGATAGTAAGTTTACTTAATGCGTAAGAATTTTTATTTTTTTATTTTTGATTACAGCTTGATTCCACACCGTATTTTTGGTACAAGTATGGAATTTTTAGCATTGATATCGGTAGCCCAAATTTTGCAGGCCGACCATAGATTAAATAAGCTAGTCGAGTGACGTAATCTAATTAACGTGGTTCAGTAGAGCTTAACTAAAATTAAAATTGGACATAAGTCAAGTTAACAATAGTGCTTATAAGGGGTAGAGACTTAATAAGGGGTGGGCGAAGAAATGATCTTGAATATGACGGAATTACAACAGTAAGTAACAACAATTTCTGACCTCACCTGAAAGTAGACTATTACGTAATTCATGGATAATCCCCACCCAGGCATTAATGAAAACAAAACACGTAGTTCAGAGAAGAGTTTCTTTTCGGCTAATTCATTTTCTTAGCTGTACAATCGGAAATATATATGTGTTATTTTGTATGTAAGTGTACATTAAGTCTGTCAAACAAAAATACAACTGGTTATGGTTATTTTAACTAAACAGGTGAAGATTGGCAATCGGAGTTACGTAATACAAAACCAGTCAAAAAAATTAGGTGTTAATGAAATTAGGGTGATGAGTTGTCACAAACAGTTGTTAAAAAAGAAGTTCCGTAATAACATGAAAAGTTTGATGATTGAGTTGTACTCAGGTTACACATAGGAACAAAGTAGAGAATACGAAATTACGTAAGGGTTCTAAATGAATAGAAGAATTATGAGCAATTAAAGAACAGGTAAACAAACAAAATTAAGTCATCAAAATCAACAAAGTTGTTACCATAACAGTAGAACACTAGCCAGCATGGTTGCGAAAAGGCAGCAGTGGTGCAATAAGGAGTGCGATAATTCAACATTTGGTTAACACTGATCATTCCATCTCACCAAACGCCTCCTGCTTCAAAGTAATCTATAGAGTTAAGAAAAACCTACCAAAGGCAATACGTTTTCGTCTTCTTTGTATCGCTGAAGCTCCAGCCATCCATTCACACAGAAAATCCGGAGTTGTGCATACAAAAGAGAATTACTCAACCACTTCTACTGTCATGGTAACAACTAAGAAAATGAATTAGCCGAAAAGAGACTCTTCTCTGAACTACGTGTTTTGTTTTCATTATTGCATAATTACAAATAAACATTATGAGAATATCAAAAATACTAATAACACAAGATAATACATTGAAATAGTATTAAAACAGAGGTTAATATAAATCAAAATTACCAAATTATCCAATCCAGGAGCTTGTTGTCGATGAGTGCTAAGTGCGTCTGAAAAATCTGGATGCCGAGTGTTAATATAAGCCAATTCAATAGATACTAAGTTAGTAACCATTTGATTAGTTGGCTGTAACCGCTGACGTAATACAGAGGTAACCACATCGACAATACGTTCATGCAGTTTAGGAAATCGTAGGAGTTCTTGCTATAATGTAAACAAAACAACAACAAAAAAGACTCCCGAATATTAGTATTCACTCAGAGGTAATATAGATGAGTGATGCATTTATCATCACTTTTTTATAACTTGATAAGCTCGATTACCTTTGCAATATCAATTAATACATCATAGTTACGACTTCTCTTCAGTCTGACTAACTGACTGCGTGCACAGAAGTGAATCAGTTGAAGTCACTACACTTCATGTTGTATATATAGGCAGATGAAAGAGAGATCCAAAAGAACTATAATGTGTATAAATGTGCAGGAGAAAGAATACTAACATTGGGGATTATAAAGAATGAATGTATCTCCACCACTGAGAATCACTCAACAATACTTTCAAGCCATCAGATCTTAGAATCACTTACCCAGACGGTCTACACCTCCCTACATCACTCAAGCTATCAAAGATTTCATGGACTGACATCATGTTTTCGTCTGACCACCCACCCCTAGCACCTCTCCGACGTGATTTGATGTCAGCTAACATTGGTCATTGAGAACGGCGATGATTAGGCATGCGTAACACATGTCTTAACCATCTCAATCGATTGATTTTCCTTCCTTACCTAACGCTCGACGCCTAACCTCAATATTACCTACCATATCGTACCGCTTACTATGGGGAATAGAACGCAGACAACTATGATCGAAGACACCTAGCCTTTTCATATCTCCCACTTTCAATGGTTATGTCTCCCAGTTATACAGGCGGATAGAGCGAAAAGCTGCACGCTGTATAATGTATATACCCAATGTGATGTAAGCTGACAAATGGAACACCAACCTTCAGTATATATAATTAATTTCCTCTCAAGAATGATGGAAAGTAAGGAACTTTACATCCTCTTACTTCATATAATTCAACCTAAAATCAAAGATAGGACCACTATCTATGTACCGCGCTTTCCGAAAAATTACTGAACTAATGTCACTCTTAAATAAAGTATTTGAATTTCGTCAGTGAGAATATAAGTTACAGCGAAATAAACCAGCTGCACTTTCGTTCCAGCATACTTAAATATGTACAATGGAGACGGTCAATCCCAATTCCAATTTCTCCAAGTAGTTCTCACGATGTGCTTTTGTATTACATGCTTAGAGGAATGTGTTGTAATAACATCAGATGTTACTTTTGGGAGTTTTAAAGGTGTTTTGTCGACTTTATTACACAGTTGAAATATCTACTGTGGTGTTCGTTATTCGATGCGTGGAAACACCTCGCGATAGGTTGTATCTCATTTAAATTTCTAAGCCTAATAAAATCTACTTTACAGTTCTCACTTGAGTGCAGACAATAATCACTGGAAAAAATAAAAAAATAAAACAAATAATTCAGTGAAGAGACACTTTTCGGTGAATTCATTTTCTTTAGCTACATAATCGCATTTATTTAGAACTTTTTTTACAAAAGATGAATTGTCACAATCATAATTGCTAATATAAATCAAGACATAAGAGAAGTTGAATAAGATTGTTAGGGTTACATACTGAGATAAATAATTTAATGAATGAGTTGTAATCAGGATACACATAGAAACGCATAAAACACACTGCTGGCAATGGCTATTCTATCTCAACAAACTCCTCTTTAAAAAAGTGTGATCTATAAAGTGAAGAAAAACCTTCGCAAAGATAGTACAGTTCCGCCTCCTTTACATTACTGAACCTCTAACCATTCAAATACAAAAACCGGAGTTCTGAATACAAAAGAGAACCATTCAAGCACTTTTACTCTATTATGAAAATCGCCAACTTGATTTTTTTGCTTGTTTTTTTTTACTTTTTCGAACTCTTCTATTTCCGTGGTGAGAGCTGTCTGCTAACCAAAATTGTAGACCACAATTTACGTCAATGCTTACATCCCGAATAGGAGTCATGAGAAGAAACAATAACAAAGCTTAACCCTGAAGAACTCACCAACCAATCACAGAAGACTTAACGTGTGCAAACACGATTCGCAGATATATGGCCTGACTTTCTAAGAAACGGCCACAAAGAGATGACAGGGTAATCTTCAGCAACAAAACAACCGGTCAGAAGACGTTGCTCCTCTGCTAACAATAACGCTAATAGTGTATATAAAAATCTCTTGATTTTCTCAATAAACGATCTGTTGCCTGGCCCTTGTCCTCTGTAGTTACATTTCTTTCAAACTCTTACGTAATATCACATTTTCTCTAGTTTCGACATCTATCCTGATGACTACGCATTCATTTACCTTATTACGTAACCCTAACACCCCAATTCAACTTCTTATAAGTACTGAATTAGTATTAGCAAATATGATGAAATTCAAAACAGTTAGTTTAAGCCACGTAGGAAGATGTAGACTTCCTGGTTGGGGTCCTCGGAACGGTAAAAACCAATGGTTGGAAAGAATTGGTGATATGGCTCAAAATCATTCCCAATGGCGAAGATGCATCCACTTCTTGTGGCTTATGATTTCCAGTGAAACTATATTGTTCTTCATTATTACTACTCCTTTGTTTCACACCTCTGTTTACTGTCTCTATTATGCATTTCTTCTACTTTCTTCTCCTGCTCTGTGTGCTACATGGAGTGTGGCGACTTGAACTTCCGCACATCGGTGCAAAGTTCTATGTCGAAAACAGTCAGCAAATATGATCATGACAGTTCATCTCTTCTCTTCTTTTGTGAAAAAACCGTATACAAACAAGGTTGTACGTCTAAAACAAAATGAATTCTCCGAAAATAGACTCTCCACTTGTTGGGACGGAGTGATACTGAGTTTGTATAACTTGACTAGAATACGCCTCCAAACACGATACTATAATCAACGGGTCACTTGAAAATATCTGCGACACTGGGATAGACACAATAATTAGACTAGGCAGTATCTCAATCCTCACACAATCAACGAAATTTTCCCATTAAAACTATCGTTACCCACTAGCAATACTTCAAATGGGATAGATAAACTAAATATTTCTGTAAAGTTCAAAGTAATATCTTGCTCTCAAAAAATTTATAGTTTGTATCAACCTATAAGATAAATAGATTGGACAAAGTATATAACTTTTCCATTATCCCCCTTGAAACACTACTCTGGTCATTACAGAGGAAGAAACATGAAATTTAAAAAAATCTATGATTGTGCTTAAGGAGAATTTGTGAATATGCACCAATTTGTAGAAAGCGTTGATATGCTTACCCCTAATAGGATATGAATAATTTTTATATGTACTTTCTACACAGATTGAAATGACTTTAATAATGAAGTAGGAAAATATGTATCTGTGATTTATGGGCAAAAACCTAAATGTCCTTGAGAAAGTAAAATGCTGGGTATCTTATTTCTGCTTACTAGAAACGAATTAGTGGGAAACTAATAATGATTTATAATTGTTACATCCACTCAGTTTCAGGACATAACTACATGGTCAGTGAACCCTAGCTTAGATTTTTACCATTCGTCATTACCACGAAACTTTAATGAGTGCTGCTTAAACCTAATGATTTAAGCTTTTAAGTTAATCTACTGAACTGTAAGTTATACCATCATTCAGAAGGACATTAAGTAAGGTAAGAGTGAAAACTATGCACTATTACTTGAAGTGAGACAGTATAGAATTGATTGGTCATGTTCTATTATCATGATGATTAAATGGTAGGGGGTTAAGTCTACAAGAATTTGTAAAAACAAAGCTGTTACCACTTATTGAATTGAACTTTTTGATTTTCCCGTCGATTGATTGGACCGAAGTGCTCGGTCTCAGGTTGACATGTCGGCTTCTCGTGCAGATGCTCCGACGATGTCTTGGCATTTAATTAGTATACAATTGGTGGATGGTGGCTAGCAGTTGAATCCAGGATACGCATTTCATTCTATTTGGGACTTGTTTGCGAAATGTCAACCTGAGACAGAGCACTTCGGTCCAATCAATCGACGGGAAAATCAAAAAATTCAATTCAATAATTAATATGACCCGTTGCACAAGAGGTGGCTCTCGTGGCCCAAGTGGTTTAGTGGATAACGCTTTGGCGTTTGAAACTATGGGCACAGGGTTCGAGCCTCGGTGGGAACATCATCACTCACTGAGAAATGCAGGTACATCCAGATGACGAGTCCCAAATAGGACGAAATGCACATCCTGGATTCCACTGCTAGCCACCATCCACCAATTGTATACTGTTGCCATTTAACCTACTGATCTTCAGCAACGATATTTCATTGGTACAAATAATTAACAACAGTAGTAGGAGAAAACTATGAGTGAGAAAGAGAGTATTGTAACCGGCTGAAGAGAAATACTGTGCACTTAAAAGCATTGCGTTATAACTGTTGAGCAACTGAGGATGCACTATAAACGTGAATAGATTTTCCGCACAACTAGATGAATAGATACCATGTGATCACATAGTTTGTTAATTAAAACTCAGTTACTCGGAGTAGTTTTTTTTCATTCACCAGGCTTTGTGCGACAAATATTGCATGAAGGCTGTTAACACTTCCCAGGCTGCAGTAGGTGGGGTGGGATTCGAGCTCCGAATCCATCTGCACTATCATATACTTAAAAGAAATATGACATATTAAGCGAGATATTCTGAGGTATATTGGCTCTCTGAGGATTAAAGCACCAATAACGTAAAATTACTAATACACACTATTTAGGAGAGACAGTGTAGCTTTGTTATATGTTATGTTTCTTCGATAAATGATACTTTGACCATCGAACCACTAGTACCATTTCATACTTAAACATCCCTGCTTTACGTTTTAACAATTTATTCTCTATACATCGTCACTTGATTGATATAAAACAATACACGACATTCTCTAATATTATGAAGTAGTGGTCGACAAATAATACTGATTTAAACTGACTTCAGAAAATTAAAAAGCTTTTGAGTTGTTCAACTATCTGGAACTAAATGAAGAGAAAAACCGAACTAACAATGACCCCTCTTGTCTTGTATATATAGTAGCTAGTTGACGGTGAATTCATATTACATAATCACTGAAAGACGGATTCTAAAATAGGAACTATCTATTCATTTAGAAAAGAATTAAAATCACTTAAGGAAAAATAACTAATTAAACAAACATAAATACATTACTTACTTGAGCACCACAATGTTGAATAATACGCTGCATCTCCTCGTGCACCAATTCAACACATCGTAAACTCGGTTCTTCAAGACGTCTAATTTGTCGTTTTACTAACAGTTCAAAAGAAACTTCTGGAACAAATAAGGCAGGTCTTGGACCAGTGGCATTTCTTATTGCCGTTAAAATATCGAGAGTAGAAAGACCACCCAATGGATCAATCTTACTTAGTGTACGATAGAATGTTTCATGAAATATATAACAAATACGAGCACCACCACATAATTCTGTTGTTTCTATATCTTTTGCAACACCATCAATTGTATTACAATAGGCAGTATTAAACTTTGTAATAATTTGGAGCAGAAGTTGTCCCTGAAAATAAAGGGAAAAATACACCATGTTTTCAATATACCAATAACTGGAAGAAAAACAAACAATATAACAGACCTAAGGAAAAACATCTTAACAGCAGCTGCAACTGACTACAATTTTGATCACGACCTGTTAAAGAACCATTGAAAATCGATATCAGTTTGCGAACAAACTTGAAATCAGTCAAATCCTTACAAACCGATGCTTGAAAGATAATCTGCTTCTTACCACTGACTGACTACAGGATGGAGTTCTAGTAAGAAGTTGTGGCCAGTGAGGAAAGACACACGTCAGTGATACTGGTTGACTGTAACTTTACAAATCCCAATTAAGTAGAAGTTCGTATTCATGCATCGTCGGATTCTATACCTGTAAATCAATAGTGAACGGGCCCGGCCCGGACGGATGCGCGCTGCTAGGCTCTCATACTAGGACGAGATAGCTGTTCAGTGCTGCCTGGTGCTCAATGGTTAATCTGACTGATGTCAGTTCGTGAACTTATTTGAAAATAATCAAATCCTCACAAACCAACAGTTGAAATCAGATTTCTTTCCTCAAAAATAGTAGAAGTAATCGATAACTTATAAGTAGTAAAAGGAGTGTTTATACTGACTGACTTGATGAGTGCAATTTACAGTCGGAAATCAAACAGTAATTATTTAGCCTTAATCAATGATGTACTGAGCCTTCTACGTGTCACAACATCACTTTCTAATCGTTTAATGCAACATAACACACCATAAAATAACAAATTAGGATTTACAGTAGTATTTTATTTAATTATTCTTTTTGCGACTTTTGGTTATAGCTTGATTCCAGACCGTATTTTTGGTACAGGTATGGAATTTTCAGCATTTGATATCGGTAGCCCGAATTTTGCAGGTCGACCATTGATATCGGGTGTGTGTCGGGAGGGGATCAAGCCCCGAATCATGTATACGGTCGGTGAGAGTCCTAGCCGCTGTACCACCGACGCACAGTCTTTCTCGTTTCTTTCTCATATTGGAATGTGGTAGAATAGATGACTTAAGATTTCCGTGACAGAAAAGTGTTTCATCATTTGTTTATGTTATATAACAACTCATAGCAGGGTACACTTCACAGAACCAGTTTAAGTGACTAGAAGGATTTCCGAATAAACAGTTAAAATTGTTTAACAACCCCTTGAAGTTACATACAGCCGGCAATGGGTCACATCTATTGTATGGGGTCTAATGATATGACCTGACTGCGCAAACCATCTTAAGTGGAGTGGGTTCCGAACCTGTAGGCCGATGGTCAGTAATGGCTGATTGACCGGTTTCATCACAGAGCTTTGTGCAGAAGTGCACTTCATGTAACACGCCAAGGAAGACAAAAGAGAAGGAAAGAGACTCGAAAAAAGTGATAATAAGATGAAATGTGAGGGATAAACAGTAGCAACACGGAAAAACACGAGGGTTTACTGGATATATAAGATCACAAAAAACGAATGTATTTGAAGCATAACACAGATAGTCTCCAGCTAGTGGATCATAGAAACCCAAGGAGCCCAACAAGGAAGTCAACACTTCCCAGCGTGGCTGGCTCAAACCAACTATCAAAGACTTCATGGATTAATTTCATGTTTGAGTTCAATCATCCCTAACTCTCTTCCAACCTGCTCCTATGTTAGCTGACTGTGACGATCGAAGAAGTTCATGGCTTAGATAACCAGTGCCTAGACCAGTGAACCATACAACGCCACACGCACACCTTTTGAGTATGAATTTTTATTACCACAGTAAAAATGTGCACATAATGAACAAAAGAAAAGGCACAATGTATTTCGCAGTACAAAATTTCGTTTACTAGACTGAAATAGTGTATAAATAACCTCACATAATATAAAAAAAAGATTAATAATCAATATGAAAATAGTCGCACATCTAATATAGACACTATAGTTTGATAGTACAAAGTTAACCAAAAAATACCGAAATCAATAGAGTAGGGTGGTACGACATTACATATTTTTTCAGTTCAAACACATCCTACAAATAAATGACACAAAAAAATTCGAGTTACACTGTTACTATGAAAAACGTTTACCACTAGTTCTATGTTTCAAATAACTTACTCAACAATGCATCTAAGATTAATATAGTTAATTCAATAGTAGACCTATCATGCCTTAAAACAGAACATAATTAACAAAGTATACGTGTCTGTGTGTTGATAGTAGACTTTTAAAAGAAATCAAAAGATTTACGAGAGAGTATTAAACGGCACCCTCATCCTGGTTTTCACCTTCTCCCTCTGAAACGCAAACCAGTGGGACAGTAAAATGTACTAACAGATATCTATCTTATACAGATGTCAATAAAATACTACCTACGGGTTATATAATGATACAGGTTCAATAACAAAAAGTTGGATTCTCGTTAAACTGAACACACACACACACACACCTCTGTGTAATTTAGTTTTCACGCACATGACATCCGAACCACCGGATGTGAACGATTCTAAGAAGTTCACTGAAGATGAAGTCTATTAACACTGATGATTTGTAAAATGTCAAATTCATCGCATTTTGTTATCATCAGATCTTTCGGAGTTAATGAAAGCGCTGACAAAATGTGTCTCAAAGTTATTCACAATCATGAGGATATACCAGTTAGTATTATCCTCAAAAAAACTGTGAATGTTTTCCACAAATATTTACCTAACTCTTGTCTAATAACAGTATTATTTGCGAGGTAAAATGAGCTCATGCTTTATTTCACGACTATTTTTCAGCTGCTAGTACAAAGAAAAATGACGTAAATTATTATAAATGAAATATAAATTATAAATAAAATGACGATACTTTCATTATCGTCAACAATGAAGAAAATCTAGACGACATCTTGAAGTCGTTTAACAACTGTCGCCCCGTGATTCAGTTCACGCTGGAGAAAGAGTCTAACTCCAAAATATCCTTTCTTGCCTGAATGGGATATAGACACAGGTCCTCCATCCCTAACTGAGGTTACTAAAGCTGTCACCAATCTGAAACTAGGCAAAGCAGCGGGACCTGATGGAATGACTCCAGAGGTATTTAAGTACGGTGGAGACAGCTTACTGTCTGCATTAACTGAGGTACTAGGCAGCGTCTGGGAATCAGAAGAAGTCCCATCGGGTTGGTGTAAGTCACTGATTATCCCCATATACAAGAAGGGAGACAAGTCTTCCTGTGATAATCACAGAGGGATTAGCTTGACTAATATAGTATCTAAAGTCTTAGGCTCAATAATCATGCGTAGACTGAGTGGTGCTCGGGAAGCACAAACACGAGAGAGCCAGGCAGGCTTTAGACCAGGAAGAGGGTGTATTGATCATATCTTCACCCTCCGACAGATTCTAGAACATAGGCATTCCTACCGGCGTCCAACAGTCATTATATTTCTTGACCTAAAGGCAGCATTCGACTCTGTCGATCGGGAAGTTCTCTGGAGATGCTTGGCTGTAAAGGGAATTCCGAGAAAATATATTGCACTGATTAAGGCACTCTATTCGTACTCATACAGCCAGGTGAGGGCTTACGGCGAGCTGTCATCTGAACTGATGACGACCAGTGGTGTCCGTCAAGGATGCCCATTATCTCCTTTTCTATTCAACTTCATCATAGATGTGTTAATGGACTTAACCCTAGGTGACTTCAGTGACTCAGGAATTGACTTGCTACCGGGGAATAATCTCGTTGACTTGGAATATGCAGACGATATAGTCCTTCTAGGCGAAGACGCTGACGAAATGCAGAGTCTTCTAAACACCTTGAGCCGCAATCTACGAATGTTTGGCATGCGATTCGCTCCCGCCAAATGCAAGATGATGTTACAGGACTGGACTACATCGACGCCTAGTTTAAAAATAGGAAGTGAAGTGGTAGAGCACGTTGACCGCTTCACTTATTTGGGAAGTACCATCAGCCCCAACGGGCTGATCTCTGACGAAATCTCAGCACGAATACAAGGGGCTCGTTTCGCATTTGTTAGTTTACGCCGACTCTGGCGTAGACGAGATGTTCGACTATCGACCAAAGGGCGGGTGTACTGCTCATCAGTCCGCTCCGTCCTCCTTTATGGTTGTGAGACCTGGCCACTGAGAGTGGAAGACATGAAAAGACTAGCTGTCTTTGATCATAGGTGCCTGCGTTCTATTTCCCGTGTAAAGTGGCATAATAAGGTGAGCAACATGGAGGTTAGGCGTAGAGTTCTAGGTAAACAGGGGAAATCAATCGACGAAGTCGTGAAGCTACAAAGACTGAGATGGTTAGGACATGTGTTACGTATGCCAAGCCATCGCCTCCCTCGACGAGCAATGTTAGCGGATATAGGGTCAGGCTGGAAAAAAGCTAGCGGCGGTCAAACAAAAACTTGGCACCAGTCAATGAAATCCACAACAGTTGGTCTAAGCCACGTAGAAAGGTGTAGACTTCCAGGCTGGGGTCCTCGGGACGGTAAAAATCTATGGTTGGAAACAATTGGTGACATGGCTCAAAATCGTTCTCAGTGGCGCAGATGCATCCACTCCTTGTGACTTATGATCTCCAATGAAACTGTTTTGTTTTTCTTTATTACTCCTTTGTCTCACACCTCTGCTCACTGTTTCTATTATGCTTTTCTTGTACTTTCTTCTCTTGCTTCGCGTGCTACACGGAATGTGGCGACTTGAACTTCCGCACATTTGTGCAAAGTTCTATGTCGAAAACAGACAGACAGACAGAGGCATATCCTTTCTTGACGTACAGCTAACAAGACGAGAACGGGACGGAACACTGAAAAGGTATATCCACAGAAAGTTGATGTGGAACGGACAGCTTACTAACTTTCACAGTTGGGTACCCTTAAACACTAAACGAAACCTGATCCGTTTACTCAGCTACAGAGTTCGCAGAACTTGCACCCCGGACACCATAGAAGATGAACTGGACAATCTCAAGAAAATCCTCGTCGTTATCCAGAAAGATTTACTGCAAAATCTATGAAACCTAGACT